GATCACTCCCAACATTCGCAACATTGGACTGACCTTGAAACCTGTGAAGTTAAGAGACGATTCAACCGAGAATGTACGACTTTAGGCATGAAGATAAGGATGGAAACCAAAACAAATAGAGATATTCGCCCCGAATGCTGGGATGTGACCACTATGTGTATACTATGGGCTCCCAGAATTCTGGAATCAAGAAGTGTCATTTTCTGGGCGCACATTTTTGTGCCTCCTCTTCATTGCAAATTCGCAAGGGTACATTTGGTAGGAATTCGAACCATGATTCCACTGGGTCTATGAACTTCCCTATGAACGGCCAGTGAAAGTTCTCCTAGCTACAAACCTTCGAGTTGGAGTGACACAATTCGAGAAACACCTAGGTATATTATGGTATCGCAATGTATCGTATAATTAATCTGTATATAATCATTAACGATTATTAATGTAATTAGCAAGTAAAACTGCAAGTTTTGATGTTTTTTCTCATGGTGAGGCTTAGTGCCCACCGTCCTGACGCCTAGGCACTTGCTGCGACAGATACCTGGACCACCTGGCTCACCAAATAGCCGAGGTGGGATTTCAGAAATATAAATCTGGTGTGGAATCACTAGGAGATGATACTAAAAATGACACAATAATGATATATAATGATCATAATGATCATAATCATCATAATGACTGAGAAACATTTGCTAGTTGATATTTTGATATATTTTGTCACATTGGATTTTCCATGTGAAGGCTTCAGCCTTGATGCCCCGTGGCCATCCGTGGCAAAACCAGGCTCTGTCTGACGGATCTGACGGCGCGGATCGATCGATTGGGTCTTTCCGAATGGCACCTGTCCTCCTGCCTTAGGTACAAGGATTTGCTTAGAGCCAGACCGCCAGATGTACATACCAACACATACCAACATATACCAACTGATTCGACTTATTGGCAGGCTTCGAACACATGTACCGATGCAGCATCCTAGTTGGCAATCTATTCGCCGTTCCACTGAAAAATTGAGCATGATGACGCGTTTGATGCTGCGTTGGTTTGCTGGGAACAGCATTCCTGGTGCATGTTTTGAAGCTGCGTTAGACACAGAATGTGTCACAGACATCGAAGTTAAAACCTGCAAAATCGCCGAAGAACCTGTCAGAAAAATCTGGACTCCACGCCGATGGGACCTGACAAGCACCTCTGAGAACAAGTCTGCTTCCATAATCTTCTATATAGTTGGTACTGTATTGAAAGCGTTGAGTAGGTGTTTGTTGCTTGTCCAGAACGATATGTCGCATACATGGGCATACATTGTCGCAAATGGGGTAAACGATCAGAAAACCACCAGTTTTGTTGATCTGAGTCCTTGGCAAGGCGCGCCCAAGACGAGTAGCGTGCGGAAACGCGTGAGAGCCTGAAGGAGATCCAACCGGGAATTCATCAAGCGGCTGGTATCAGGAGCTGTGGAATGCCTGTTGGATTGGATGATTCTGTTTTTCCGGTTTCTGGATGTTTACCCTCTGGTAAACTAACATAGCAATGGAAAGTCACCATTTATTAATGGGAAAACTCACTATAAAATGCCATTTTCAATAGCTATGTTAGTCATTACCAGAGGGTAGCTGGCTTGATGTTTGATGACTTTTCAGATTGGGCCCGTGTTTGACAGCGAGGAAGGTGACCGTAGGTGACCACCTCCTGGGCATCTGAGGCACAGTCTTCTCCTTTTGAGGGCCGAAGGGGACCAAGATGCCGAGGAACGAATGCAGGTTCTTGGCGAGCGCCTCAGAGTGGCCGTGTCCCACCCATAGCATGATGCCTGGAAACAAATGTAAAACTCGTCCACACACACACACACACACGCTTGAAACATGTGTGTTCAGTGTTTGGCAGGCACTGGATGAACAGTGATCACTTGTAAAAAGTAAATCTATATCATTCTGCATGCGAAAGATTGCAAATCACTCAGTATACTGCGGACTTTGGGTTTGGGAGATGACATGACGTCGTTCCTGAGGCTGGGGAAACAACCGGCACAACGCCTTGGGCTTGCGGCCCGAAACTTAGCGCGGCGTGCTGTGGACTGCGCTTGTTTCAAATCAGATATCAAGATCAATGACGATGTCAACTGTTGTCAAGCAGAAACCCACCATACAGTGGCTAGATATGACGACCATAAATCCCAAGGAAAAAAAAGAACCTGTTCCAAGTCTTTCTATATATCTTTCGCAGTGTTTGACCCATGCGCTGAACCCAAGCGGTACGTTGCAGTGATCTTGCTCCAATCTCCAAGGCGCGCGGCGGACAAATCAGATGCCTCCAAGAGTGAGAAGGTGCTGCTGGGGATGGATTGGCATTCTTGAGCCCATGCCCCACCCCCCAAATAGCCAAATAATTGGAGATAAGAATTGCTGCATACAGCATGAAGTATCCCCACTACAGTGCATCGGAGGGTTGAAACTTAAGACGCAACAGAACACACATACAGTTCCAGATAGGTCGATATTTCCCTAAGTTT